GGGCCCTTACAGCTCTACAATTCTATGATCCTTCACCCAGTAAGCTTCCTGGCAGAGTGGGGATTTGAACGTGGGATCCTCCAGTCCACCAGACCACACTTGGTTGAGGACCCTAACACACGAGTAAGCACATATTTACAGGTTTAGATTCTAAAGGTGAAGAGAGAGACACATTGAGGAGGAAATGAATGGTTAGGAAAAGGGAAGGAACTTCTCTTGGGTTGAGGAAGGGTGAGCAGAGGTGCCTTAAGAAGAGAGCTGGATGTCAGGTGGAAGGATGCTCCACTGACAGGGAGCTGGAAAAGAGAGAGGTACCAGAAAATGATGACCACCCCTGGGGAACAGGACCACTAGCATGTGTGTGGCTGTTGAGAAGAAAGGTGGGAAAGGAGACAGTCTCTTTGCAGACTAGAAGGATTTCAAATACAGAAGCAGTCCTAGAGTTTTCTAGCCCTAGAGATTAACACCAAACGTCTGCTCCACCCCACAAAAAACTCCTAGAACAAAATCTCACATTCCTCAGGTAAAGGACACCAGGAGACATCAAGCAAACAAGGTGTTAACCACTATCAAGATAACAACACACAGCCTCAACCTAACTAGAATAGGCAGCAAAACAGGGTCACCATTGCCTTGCAAAACTCTTTCGCAGCACAGAGCTTAATGACACAGCTCTGAAGCACAGTCACATTTTAGGAACAACCCAGGGATGAGGCCAATATATAAACTCACAGCAAAAAAGAAAGAAGTCCATGATGTCAAATACAATTGTTCAAGCTGATGGTTTGTGTTACATAAAGTTGCTGGCACACAGGTAGCACTTTTGATGTGCTGCACATCGCACTTCCTATCCCGCCCGACCTGCTTTCCACTCTCTGTTCACCCTGACAGGCAAGCTCTGATGGAGAAGGAGAACCACTGAGCTGGATACAACAGCGAAACTGGGCTTTCTGAGTCCTTTGTGCCAAAGAAGCGGGGGGGGGGGGGGGACACCATGTATCTTAGAGGAAAAATTCATGAGAACATTAATCCCAGAAAAATAGGGTTCTTAAAAATATTGCAATCTTTTGGTACAGCAAGGTGCTTCAAATATTTCATCAGAGGCAGATCACCACACAAGCAGCAAGGGTTTGCAGAGGCCATGCATCACACACAAGCAGAGTTTGAAATGTACCAGGTGTATTTTGCACCTGGTCATCGGCCACTTGCGACCGAGTGAAAATGCCCGTTTGCCCAGGATGGTGCCTGACGTCTCCACCATCTGGAGGTGCCTGCCTGCGGATCCTTGGATCTTGCCTGTATTCACACACTAACAACACATCCTGTAGAATTCTGTCTGTCATATTTTATCTGCATAATCAGAATGAATTTCAGGAACCAAAAAGTCATAGTTTGGCCGAAAAATGGCAACTAGGCATTCCATTTTGCCATCTGTAACCCTGGTTTAAGGAGCCATTTGGCGCCTTGCATATATATATCTGAGTTTCTAACATTGCACACAAGCACACAGCAGGGAATCTGGAGTCGTAGTGAGCAAGGCATTTCTATTGATCTAACACAGTGCTCTGCTCCCAAATTTTAATGGAACTGCTTCAAAGTACCTCGGGTTACAGCCGCTTCAGGTTGCGCTTTTTCGGGTTGCGGACCACCTGGAAGTACTGGAACAGGTTACTTCCGGGTTTCAGTGGTCGCACATGCGCAGAAGCGCTAAATTGCAACCCGTGCCTGCGCAGACGCGGGTTGCGAATACTGCGGGTTGTGAACGTGCATCCCGCATGGATCAAGTTCGCAACCCGAGCGTCCACTGTAGTCACTTTGCTTTAACCTATGGAAACACATTTTCACTCAGTTAGAAGCTGGTTAGGGTTAGGGTTGTCACACCCAAAGCACAGCACTTCAAAAATTCAGCATACATAAGCCAAGTTGAAAGATCCGGTTTCAAGACGGGTAAGACAGACTGTGTTTTGCAGCCAAAACGGCAACACAGGAAGGTAACTCGAATATCATAGACCTATTTGCACCACATACCACCTCACACACAACTTCAAAGGGCACATAGCACTAAATATTCAGGTGAGCCAAGAAGCAGAGTGACAGATTCACCTGACACCTCCCACTCCTACTAATGAAATCCCCTCAATGGCCAGCAACTAAGCCATGTGCCCGCACCTGCCAGTGCCAGGAAACTGAAGAGTATACATGGGGCGTGGGAGAGAAAGACATATTGGGTGGGGAAGATGGAGTGGGTTTCCATCACCACAAAAAAGTTGGACTCAAAAGGAATCAAGTGATTGGCTGTTTGCTTCCCTTGGATCAAGCCAAGTCCCCAAATTTTATGGTGCAAGTTTTCCTAGAGTGGAGGAAGACAAGCATAATGTTCCTTTCCCCTCTCCACATTGGGTGTGTGTGGGTGTCCTTGGGATATGTGTACAAATGTGGCATGTGAATGTGTGCAAGTGCTTGTGTGTGTGAGTTGGGTATGCCTGTGTTTTGGGGGGAAAGTGCGCATGCACATGAATGCACGTCTGCTAGGGGGTGGAAATATTGAGGTGGGTTTCCATGATGTCCGGCAAATGCAGCACGTCTGCCTGTAGAAACCCTCTTTTTTCCTTGGTCCATGAACATCCAGGCAGGATCAGTTTGGTTATCCTCCTCTCCTACCTGATAACAACAACACAGTTTGATTTTAAGCAATTTGCAAGCCCTGAGATTCTGTATTCCTTCTCATCTGTCACAAGCAATCCGTTTTTTTATAGCACAAATGCAATTCACCTGAGTTTGACTCTGAACCTTTCATCACCTTTTCATCACCTTTTCACTGTATGCAAATTAAAGTTCTTCTTCATCCAAGGTGCCTGATTCAAATCTCAGAAGAGACAAGGTCGGGAGGGAACTCCTGTCTTTGGGTCCACCTAAAAGGAGCCTTCTACATCACCAGGAAGGAGCAAAAATTGCCCAAGAGAAATGAAAATCAGATCCGATGCCTCCTCACTTATCTACATTTAAGTGTTTCTTTCCTGGCTCCCTTTAACTTTAATGGATAGCTCACATACGATTCTCAGGCCTTTGGATTCCAGTTCAGTACTGAAATAGACGGTCTTTACCCCTAGACAACCTCTTACCACTGAGATTGAGGACCAAACTACATGTTATGTGTGTGTGTGTGTATTAGCATGCACATAATTTTGCAGCTGAAAATTGCCCCTAATGACATATAGTTTGGCCCTTGCCTGCTCTTGTATCATCCTAGTTTGTTCTGTAGAATATACTAGACAAGATGAGGGATATCTGAGATTGGAACCCCCATCTGAAAGAAAATGAGTCAAATAGGGTCAGAAAGAGGTTTGGATCAAGACTGTTGAACTGGGTGAAAGTTTTTTTGTTTATTTTAACCTGTTGCTCCTGTTCTCCCAGTGAAAACTGTGTTTCCCCCCAGCTGCTCTTTGCCTTCCGTAGGATTTTCCCACTCTCTGGGCCATTACCTAAACTTGTATCTGAATGATGCACTGCAGAGGTCTTTGGTCCCTGAGTCAGTTGCTGGGGTTAAACCTAGAGCATGAAGAGCCTCCTGGATCAGGGCCATGGCCCACGTGGTCCAGCAACCTGTTCCCACAGTGGTCAGCCAGGGACGCCCCCAAGCAGCACGCTCCCCTCCTGCAGTTCACAGCTACTGCTATTTAGAAACATCACTGCCTGATAGTGGAGGTAGAAAGTGGCCATCCTGGCTAGCAGCCACTGCTAGGCTTCTCCTCCATGAATTTGTCCCATCCTTAGATAAAGCTATCACAGCCCCCCAAGGGAGCAAGTTCCAGAGTTCAGCTACACGCTGCATGAAGAAGTCATGTCTTTTATCTGTCCTGAATCTTCCAACATTTACCTTCCTAGGATGTCTACGAGTTCAAGCACTAGGAGCAAAGAAGACTTTCTCTACCCCATACATAATGTAATATATTTTATTTTATTCATTACATTTCTACACTATACTTCATCCGAGGATCACAGGTCAACTCTTACTTGCCTCTAAACTGAAAACTGAAAAGGAAGCTCCATTTTCACACCTAGAAAACTTCAGCGGAGAAAAATAACAAATATATATTTGCTGCTAACTTTGGCTATGTGTTGTTAAGCATGTGCCTTCCAAATCAAAACAAACTTTTCTGATGAAATTGACTGCAATGATAGCCAACAGGCATTATTATTAAAATATTTGTGACCAAACTGAGCATTTTTCTGCTGAGTACAATGTCTAGGCATGTCACTGTAACCTAAAGGGTTGTTAATTTTTGCTAATTAACAACCACAAAGTTTCAGGAAAAAGCCCGGTATCTCTTTCTTTCAATGCTTGTGAAGAGCATGGAAGCAAATGTTCTTTCAGTTATAACGGTCACTGTGTTTCATAGGAACCAAAACATAATTTGCAAATTGTGTATCAGTAAGCAATTATACAGCATTGTCCAAAGATGTCAGAGAACACGAAGCAACTCCAACTCAGATGGGGATCTCCGCATGAGCAGGTGCTTTTTTGCCTCAGTGGAGCAAGAAGCAACATCTTGCATGCAGCTCTGGCATATATTATGGCAAAGGAGGAGCCAATAGTGCTTCTGGATTTCATCACTTCAGATCGCTGCAAGGAGGTACCCAAGGAGTGAATGCTTTTATATGTAAATGTGTGTATGTCAGTCATATATTTTTCTCCCACAGAGCAGCAATCAGTCATGTGGTTCCCCCTTCCTGAAGTCTAGAGTGGTACAGTCCAGAAACAGTTTCAGCTTCTCATCTGTTGTTTGCATGAACCTAGAGAGGTCTGCTCTGGAAGGCTGGGAATTTCACAGGCACATTCACCAAGCGCAATGCACAACCAGCCACTGATTTAACCATATGGATAGATATATGCTGTGAATGAATGAAAAGGAGGTGAAAACCTTTTTCATATTGTCTGATTAAGGGGAGATTCTCAGGAACATCAAGCAAAAGGAAGGTAGGACAAATCATGTACTTACATTGAACTCACAGAAATCAAGGCTATCGAGGCTTTTGCTTCTATGTATTCTCCCTTTTATTCTTCTTAGAGAAGGCTTTCCTTGGCTTATACTACAATTAGAGCCAGTGGGATTTTCAGAGGATGGCGTTACCCTGTTGGAGAGAAATGACAGCATTTTTAAAAGGAAGAAACCCTGTTCTGAACACCACACAGGCCTAAATCCTTTGTCCTCATACCCTGTACTAACCAAGCCTAGGTACATTTTCTGAACTTGTTTTCTGCTGCTGCTGCTAAGCAGAACCTTTTTCTGTCCAATGACCACCCTTTGTCATGGGCAGCCTTCCAGGGTCTGCAGAACAGAGGTGGCCACTGCCAGAGGCCAAAGTAGGTGTGGTCAGAAGCAAAAGCAGGCAGAGCAGTGAGCTGGACTTCCATCTTTGGCTATTTCAGCCAGGCAAAACCAGGGTGTTCCTATACACCACAAACACAGGCACCTTTCTCCATCCTTCATCCAGACAAGCAGCAGATGCTATCACAGCTCAAGGACACATTTCAGCTCTGCAAAAGGAGTCAAGGAGGATGCGCAGCAGGCCAGTGAGGGTATGGCCTGAGGGAGAGGCCTTGGGGCTGCATTCCACCTTCAGGTCAGAGGTTCCCCAATCCAGTTCCCAAGGGCACAGCCCAGAATGATGGGTCCAAAATACAAGCGGGATTTTGACTGAATGTCAGGAGGAACCCAGAGAGGATGAGCTATTTGACAGTGGAGCAGGATGCTTCAGAAGATGGTGCACTTCTTCATCAGAGGTTTTAAGCAGAGCCTAGACTGCCACCTATGTGGGGTGCTGGAGCAGCTGATTTGGCCTATCATGGAAATAAACGCATACTCTTTCCATTGTCTCAGTTTCCGTCCCCGTCCTCTGTATTTCCCATGTCAAATCATGGAGCATAAGTGTCCTGTCCTCTTATACTTTATAAAGTACTCTGCACATTGATGGTACTATATAACAAACGACAAGTTACCACAGGAATGAATAAATAAGCAAGGAAGGAAGTGCACCATTTTGACTATCCCTGAAACCTGTCCAGGGAGCACCTGGGCGTCGGAAGACAGCCAGGGCTCCAGAAGGCAGGACCAAGACTAATGCAATGAAGCAGATTTTGGCTAAACATTAGGAGGAACTTCCACAGTGCCTGGGGAAGTGGAGGGCTTTCCTTTGCTGGAGGTAGCCTAAATAGAACCATCTATCACAAATGCTGTCATTTCCAGATACCTGCACAGAGCAGGAGGCTGGACAATATGACCTCCAAGGTTCCTTCCAACTCTGCCAATTCTGTGATTCTGTAATGGCAGGTTGATATGAGAGCAAGCATTCATTCACTGTTTGTAGGGCTTCAAAGGTAAGCACTGTCACTTAAGAATGCCCATTTTATCAGCATGCAAAAGACTCTAAAGTACAGACCACTCTTCTATGTGCAAAGCAAACCTGGGGATCCTCTCAGCTTCAAGAACCGGAACCCTTTGGTAACAAGACAAGGACTTTAATCTGTTTTTTAAATACCAACGTGGATAAAGTTTTACCTATGCTTCAGCATCAGTAACAGCCACAGGAATAATGCTTAACCTTTCTCTAGCATGCTGCAAGTACTTTGTGTGCATTATCGTACAACAACCCTGTAAAGCTGGCTTAGCTGGACTATCCCTGCCATAATTACGTATGCTGCAACTCAACCACAAAGCTTATGCTTTCATGTAGAAGGTCCCAGATTCAATCCCCAAACTCTCCAGCTAAAGCAATCAGAGGGTGACTCCACCATGGGAGCAGGGTCAGGGCAGGAGAGTGCTAGAGTCCTGTGTAGTCAAGTTGTGAGGGATCAGTTCCAATCTGTTACCTCCGAGGATGTGGACAGGCTGCTTGGACGAGTGAAACCAACCACCTGTCTCCTTGATCCTTGCCCATCCTGGCTCATAAAAGCGAGCTGGGCAGGGCTGGGCGATGGACTCTGTGGGGTGATGACTGCTTCCCTTTGTGAGGGAGCCTTCCCAGACGCACAGAAATAGGTGGTTATTAAACCGATTTTTTAAAAAAACGCATATTTGGACCTGAATATAGCCAACTATCACCCAGTCTCAAATTCAGTGGGTGGTTGCTGAACAACTCCTGGCATGCCTGGAGGATGCACACCATTTGGATCCCTTCCGATCGGGATTCAGGCCTCATCATGGGACTGAAACTGCCTTGATCTCTGGGAGGCTATGAACAAAGGTGAGAGCTGTTTCCTAGTTCTGCTGGATCTCTCAGCGGCCTTTGACACCATCGACCACAGCATCCTTCTGGAGCATATAGAGGGGCTGGGAGCTGGGGGCACTGTCATACAGTGGTTCTGCTCCTTCCTCCTGGGCCGTGTTCAGAAAGTGGTGGTTGGGGATGAGTGTTCAGACCCCTGGGCTCTCACTTGTGGGGTGCCTCAGGGTTCTGTCCTCTCCCCCATGCTTTTAAACATCTACACGAAGCCACTGGGAGAGATCATCAGGAGGTTTGGGCTGGGTGTTCATCAGTATGAGGATGATACTCAGCTCTACCTCTCTTTTAAATCAGAACCAGTGAAGGTGGTGAAGGTCCTGTGTGTCTGGAGACAGTTGGAGGATGGATGGTGGCTAACAGATTGAGACTGAATCCTGACAAGACAGAAATACTGTTTTTGAGGGTGGGGGTGGGCAGGTGTGGGGAACTCCCTGGTCCTGAATGGGACAACTGTGCCCCTGAAGGACCAGGTGTGCAGTCTGGTAGTCATTTTGGACTCACAGTTGTCCATGGAGGCACAGGTCAATTCTGTGTCCAGGGCAGCTGTCTACCAGCTCCATCTGGTACACTGGCTGAGATCCTACCTGCCTGTGCACTGTCTCGCCAGAGTGGTGCATGCTCTAGTTATCTCCTGCTTGGACTATTGCAATGCGCTCTATGTGGGGCTACCTTTGAAGGTGACCCAGAAACGACAACTAATCCAGAATGCAGCAGCTAGACTGGTGACTCGGAGCGTCCACTTAGACCACATAACACTGGTCCTGAAAGACCTACATTGGCTCCCAGTACGTTTCTGAGCACAATTCAAAGTGTTGGTGCTGACCTTGAAAGCCCTAAGCGGCCTCAGCCCAGTATGCCTGAAGGAGCGTTTCCACCCCCATTGTTCTACACAGACACTGAGGTCCAGCTCTGAGGGCCTTCTGGCTGTTCCCTCCCTGCGAGAAGTGATCTACAGAGAACCAGGCAGAGGGCCTTCTCAGTAGTGGCACCCGTCCTGTGGAATGCCCTCCTGTCAGATGTCAAGGAAATAAACAACTACCTGACTTTTAGAAGACATCTGAAGGCAGCCCTTCCCTGTTTAGGGAAGTTTTTAATGTTTGATGTTTTATCACATTTTTAATATTCTGTTGGGTACCACCCAGAGTGGTTGGGGAGGCCCAGCCATATGGGTGGCATATAAATAAATTATTATTATTATTATTATTATTACTATTATAGCTGGTAAGGCCAAAGACCTTTCTGTGACTGATTCCACAGAGACCGACTGCCAGAGACAGCAGACAAGAGATTAGAGAGGATGACTTAATATAAGGCAATTTCATACGTTTCAATGAAGGCTTTTGACTCTCAAAGAGAATTAGAAAAAATCATGGAGGACAGGGTTATGAATGGCGAGTAGCCATGACAGCTGCATGCTACTCCTAAATACCAGTTGCTGGGAATCAGTAGTGGGGAGATGACTCAGGTCCAGTTTGTAGGCTTCCTGCATGTATCTAGTTAGCTACTGTGAGAACAGGATGCTGGCCTAGACTAGCCTTTGGTCTGATCCAGCACGGCTCTTCTTGCATCCTGATTTTTGCCTGGTTGGCTTCACCAAACCTATATGAGGTTCCATTCAGCACTGAATGGAGCATTTTGCATGGGCATTCATCAACAAACATGTATTGTAGAAGCCAAGATTTACTGCCTCTTTGAGCCAAATAATTTTAATGCCATCTTGAGAGGAATTAATTCAGTGTTTTATTTTTATTTTTTTTAGAAAAATCTTAACCTCTTCTTGCCTTCATTGGAGGAAATTTATAAATGAGCAAATTATTCCATTTTTAGATTTGTGTTAACCTTCTGATTGCAGTGAGATTGCTGCAGCAAGATAGCAAAAGCCACATTAATAATTATGTTGTGTAGGCAAAAACAAATAAACAAAACTTCATTTTTAATCAATTTTTAGACCTGATTTCTAAGCACTTATTTCATACACAAGTTGAGTGGGAGGAGGGGACAGAGCTGCATTCATGTACTTATTTTGCTATATTTATATTCTGCCCTCCTTCCATTATAGAACTCAAGGTGGCCCACTTGGGGTTCCCAGATTCAGACCAGACCCAGACCTGCACAGCTTCAGCAAGGTGGTGGCCTCCTCCTATATACCCTGGAATCTCTTTCTTGTTCCACATGGTCAGAAACCTCATGAGAACTCAAAGTTCCCTCTTCATGTATAAACAGCATATCGGTGCAACCTCAGGCCAGGCTGCCTACAAACCTTTGGCAAGAGAAAAGGAAATGACTGAGATACCTGCTGACCTCTTTTACACTTGCCTCTACTCTAACTATTATTAGCCACTGCTGGAGACACTCCACGTGTCTTCTACCGGTCTGACCTGTATATGAAAGTTACCTTCCTAATGCCATCATTTGCATTACAAGACCATATTAATGGGGGAAAGGGGGTGGGAGATGAGCCAAAGGGGAAGCTATTCTCCAAGTGCCCAAAATGTTTTATTGTTGCTCTACTGGAAACAAGAAATGCCTTCCTAAGAGGTAATCCTCAAATCAGCACCCTGCAACAATGTACTGCTGTAACTCTCTCCTTTGCCAAATGCATATTAATAGGCATTCAATGTTCTGCTGCTGCCAAGCAACATTTTGCTGAGCACTGAGGTTAAGGGCGAGTTGGGTAAAAACCCTTTAAACAAACAAGCAAGCAAACCTTCTGACCCTACATTTAGTTCAAGAGCTAAAAGATGACTCACAAGCCTTTTTGTGCTCTACTAGGACATCTAAGTCCAACAAGAGGCCATGTCAGGTCATTCCATGGTCAGCCAGAGTCACCCAGATGTCTCCAGATACCATCTTGCACAAGAACTGGACCATAAGAACATAAAGCGAGTTCCATTAGATCTGATACCCTTTCCCACAGTGGCCACCAGATGCCTCGGGGAAGACCACAAGCAGGACACAAGGGTAGTTCTCTCCCACTGCCCTCTAGCAACTGGTAGTCAGATACACTTTGCCTCTGGATCCGGAAAGAATTTGTCTCACCTGTTAAAAACATTTAAGCCAGCGGTCTTCCCTACATCTTGCAACTATGAATTTCATAGGTTAATTGTATACTAGTGCCAGATGCTATGCTTTACGAACCAACTTAGGATCATAAGAAGAGCCAGCTGGATCAGCATCAGTGGCCAACAAGATGTCTGTGGCATCTAAAATCAGGACCTCTCCTTTGGCTTCCAGCAACTGGTATTCAGAAGCATTACTGCCTCTGACCGTGGAGGCAAAGCCGAGCCATCATGGCTAGTTGCCATTCATAGCCTTATCCTCCAACTCATGGTTTTAGAAAAGCCATAAAAAACCTCTTCTTCATTAACTGCCCCTGTGACAATTACAAGCTATTGTACACAATGTAAAGCTGCCACCCTCCTTATTTAAGTGAAACACTCAATACTTTCCCAAGCCTTCTTACAAATCAACTATTGACAAACCGGTTAACCTAACAGCAAAATGATAATGTAAGATACAACATTAGACAAATCAGATGTTCAAAAGCAAACAAACAATCTTTGACATTGACGATTTGCGATGAACATCTCAAAAATACCTGTTTTCAGAACAGGCAATTAACAGATCCTGCAATGAGGAGGAAATGAGAGCAATCACATCTCACAATAACTTTGCTCATAAAGGTATGGAAAAGAAGAAGCTGTTTTCTATTGGATTCACACTAGACTAAGCAAAGTTGTTAATATACACTTTTAAATTGCACTGTACAATTAAGCTGCTTCTGCTGTTTGGGAAGTTGCTTCTCTCTGGAGATCTGATCCGAGACAGTGGATTTGGCTACAGGAGCAGAATTGAAATTTCAAATACCTGGAAAGCTGCCGAACATCTTGCTCCCAGAGTTTCAGCTCATGTGCCCTCTCCCTCTGTCAACTGTGCCATCACAGGTCTCCTCAGGATCCACCTTGCCCAAAGGGGAGGACTATTTAACTTTCAAAAAGCTTTCCCCCCCCCCCCTTGTAGATTTGCCTTTGTTGCTTTATCACAGCCAAGAGTTAACATGGTGGGTTTGGTGCTTGCAGCAGGAGTACTTCTATCATTTCTCAGACACAGCTACTGAGAGTTTGCTACTCAGCTCTGAGCTCGGTGCTTTCGCTTTATTTCATCTCCCTGATTGTCTCCCCACTGCCGCCATCCAGCAAGCTCTCCCAAATAACACCACATCAAATGCCAGGTCTTTTTAATGCTAAAGCAAAAGTGATGAGGTCAGTAGGACTCAGCTGAACATGATCAGTGCATCTCACCAACATGCAGAAGGAGGAGGAGAAGCTGATCCCTTTCCAGCTGACTGACCAAAGAACCGTTTCCGTATTTATATTCATTCATTTTAATTACTATGGAGAGAACATTGTGATGTTCATTAAAATAATGACTAACAACACAGGTTAGAGAGAAGTGGTGGGTCTGCAAACATTTCCAGTGTAGACTATGATGATATACTGACTCAGGGGTCAGTAGCAAAATAATCTTTCTGCAAATACAACTGGTACTGAAATCTATCAGGGCACAAGCTTTCGTGGACATATGCATAAAGTTTTATCCTTATTTTCCCGGGGTGTACTCTTTCAGTGGCTGCTTTTTCACTATGCCAGAGTTGGGCCCTCCAGATCCTGCTGCACTTGAGTTCACATCAGCAAGACACATGCATCCATCAGGGAGGGAGAGAGCTAAATCAGAGACGAACCAGGTGCCTGGAATGGGACTTTGTCCTGGTCTGCTTGTCAGCAAACATCTCTTTTTCAACTTCTCATATTCCCAAAGTGGACAATAGCACAGGCAATACTATTCATTCGTGGATTTTTGCCAAAAGAGGTTTACAACCCTCTTGGCATAAGTGTGAAAGACCTAAAGAGAGAGAGCATTTAGATTCTATGCATGAATCTTCTCTTAGCTAACAGCAATTTTAACATATTCAATAGGAGTTAAGCTCCACAAAATCAAAGGGATAATCAGGCACTTTCCAAACTGTTCTGTAACAGAAGTAACGCTCCGCCCTGTCCTCTTTCTACATGTCAGGGATGGGGAGCGCCGGTGTCTCTACAGATGTTGCTGGACTCTCCCATCATCTCCAGCCAATATGGCCAATGGTCAAGCAGGATGAGAGTCCAGCAATACCTGTAGGACTCCCCAGGTCCCACACTCCTCTCTTATCTGCTTCTCCATTTTCTTTTTAAAAACCTTTAAAACAAAGCAATCAAAATTAGAATCCAGGCCTGCAGAACTTGAGTTTTGTGCCCATCCTAACCCTTTCTGCTGCCCCTCACCCTTTCAAGCTCTTCCTCAGCATGCAGCACTGTCTTTCTGACCTCATTTCCCAAGAGTTCCTGCCCGCAGCCTATACTAGGAAGCTGCCTTGATGCCATGTCAGACTCCGCTAATGAAGCTGTCGCATAGCAAATCAGACCAAGAATATACCTAGTCCAATTTTGTCTGCTCTGATCAGTTGTAGCTCTCCAGGTCTCAGCAGACAAAGAAGGGTGCTTCCAATCCATCTGCTGCTGGAACCTTCTCACTGAAGATGCCATTTTCATTTTGTGACATGTCTTTTTAGAATGTAAGTCTATAAACAGTAAAACTACAACATTTATTAAAAACAAAACAGCAATGCACAATTAAACACCATGTAAGGAATGGAAAGGCCCAGACTGTAAAACTTAAGTTATTTAAAAAGCCTGGATAAATAGAAATATCTTTATCGAGCACTGAAAACACAGTGCCAGGAAAACCTGTCTGGGAAGGCTATTCCATAATCAGGGAGCCACTACCCAAAAGGCCTTGTCCCTAGCTCACTTCATCTGGCAGTGTGAGCAGGAGAGACCTCAGTGGCTGTTAGCCATGCTGGACGCTCTGTCTTCAGAGGCAGAGAATGCAAGCTGCTTGCCAGGATGTCTGCAAGCAGGGCTTGAAGGTTACTTCTGCTGTTTGACCCAGGAGATGGTATTCAGAAGTCCTCATCTGTATATGTGCTTTGTAACCTGGAACGTAACGCTGCTGCACAAAAAAAGTCACATTCTTTTGCTCCACCTACTTTTGCCACTGACTTTGTCCACGCTGAAAAGCAGCACCAGGAACGTTGCCCATGACAGAATGTGGTCCTGGGCTGAAGAAAGTTCCCCTCCCTGAGCTAATCCTTCCTTCCCTGCCTCAGAAGCCAGATAGCCACCTATATGGGATCTTGTAGAAATTAATTTCCTGCATTGACAAGTGGTTGAATTGAATGACCTTTGAAGTCCCCTTCCAACGCTGTTATTCTCCGACTCTACTTTTAACTGGGTGAGATGTAAGATGTGCAGACCTGGTTTATATTATATTTTATGCCACATCAGAACCTTGTGCTGGTAACCTTGAGGCTGGGTTACTGCAGTGCACTCTCTGTGGGGCTGCCCCTGGGCCTAGTTTGAAGCTCCAGCTGGTGCAGAAGGAGGTAGCCAGACTGCTGAAGGAGGCATCCGGCCAACTAAGTGTGACTCCCTATCTGCTACTGAGCCAGGTTCAAGGTTCTTGTTTGTTACAAAGCCCTGAGCCACTCAGATCCTGGGGACCTCAGGGGTCGCCTGAACCCTTCTATCTCAGCTCAGTCACGGAGATCATCTGCAGGAGTCTTGTTGGTCAGTCCCCAAGTTGGTGAGGCTCATTTGGCTACAACAAGAACCCAAGCCTTCAGTGTCATCAGCCCAGTCCTGTGGAACACCCTGCCACTAGAGATGGAACAAGGGTCTTTTAAACTTTTAAGCCCACTGCAGGTTTTTCAGTTCTTTCAGGTTTATACGGGCAATTAGGAAAACACATTTCCTTAACAATTACCTCATTTCTGATTTTAACATTTTGATATGGTTATTTTGTATGATTTTACATATAATTTTTGTAAACCGCTCTGGTACCTTTTTATGAATAGTGGTGTAAAAGAGAGGAAGAAGTAGAGGTAGTTGGTGGCTGGCAAAGAGAAGTGGAAGCAGAATGAAAAAGGGCATGAGAGGGGGAGCAAGGTGCCCTACTCAATTGTGGCTTCAGTCCCAAACACTTTGTGCTCAAGCCTTGCCCACCTGCAGCATATGGACCCCAGGAAATTAATCCGAGGGAATGTGGCCCTTGACAGAAAAAAGACTGCCACCCCTGCCGAAAACAGTTGTACATTCTCCCTTGACACATATTATGAACTGCTCCACACAAAATTTGAGAAATCACAAGCACATGTGGACCAACCAACATGGACCAATTCATCCTTCATAGAAATAGCATATGAGAATCATGAATGCCAAGAATTAATAGTTGGTAGTCAGTCAACTTTTTAAATATCAGAATTGCATCCACAAACAGCACTCCAGGACAAATTAATTCCCTTTTTCTCTCACACATAGCCTACACATTGCAGAAGTTATTCTGTATCACC